CTGGAATTTACACCATCACCTACTCTGGCTCTGCAGCCTTTGGTCTTGGACTGAATGACACCACCAGCTTTCCTGGGTCTGCACTTTGCAGGTGCCAGATCCTGGAACTTCTCAGCCCCCATAATCATGTGAGCCAGTTCCTTATAATAGATCTCCCTCGTGTAGGTTCCGTTTCTCTGGAGAACGCTAACAATTCTAAAGATTTTTATTTATTTAAGTGACAGAGAGAGAGAGAGATAGCGTGAGAGGGAACACAAGCAGGGGGAGTGGGAGAGGGAGAAGCAGGCTTCCCGCGGAGCAGGGAGCCCGACACAGAGCTTGATCCCAGGACCCCGGGATCATGACCTGAGCCGAAGGCAGACGCTTAACAACTGAGCCACCCAGGCGCCCCAGATTTTTATTTTATTTTATTTTTTTATTTTTTTAAGATTTTATGTATTTATTTGATTGAGAGAGTCACAGCGAGAGAGAGAGAGAGAGAAAGAACACAAGCAGGGGGAAGTGGGAGAGGGAGAAGCAGGCTTCCTGCTCAGCAGGGAGCCCGATGCAGGGCTCGATCCCAGGACCCTGGGATCATGACCCGAGCCGAAGGCAGTTGCTTAACCAACTGAGCCCCCCAGGCGCCCCGAACCCTAACAATTCTAAAGGTTTGTGTCAAATGGCACAGGTGAATTGTGGTAATGACAGTGACAGTGAGACAGGTGAAATGTGCGGTTTCTAAGGACACATGCCAAAGAGTGATGCAGGAGAGGTAAAGGCACAAGGAGGATGTAGTAGAGGTAATAGTGTTTAAAAAGTCAACTATAATCCCATAAGACCTGGTCAGATAGGAGGGAGTCATGGTTTAAAAAAAAACTTTGAGTGGGATCTGCCATCTGAGTGAGTCAATCTGGGGTGTGGCTGTCTTTCACAGGAAAAGAGGTAGTTAAATAAAGAAGTTCCCCTACTTTAACTCCCTATTCTCATAGGTCTTAGGATCTTGTTATCATGCCACTTCTTCCGATGTCTCTTCATATTATTAACAACAAGCATGCATCTTATTTTGTTGTTGTTGTTGTTGCTTGAACCCTGAGATCAAGACCTGAGCTGAAATCAAGAGTTGGATGCTCAACCGACTGAACCACCCAGGCGCCCCTCATTTTGTTCTATTAAAAGTTGTCAAGATGCCCCTTATGGAAATTCCTCCTACATGCTCTTCTAGCTGTCTCCCAGGTGAGCTCAGTTTCTGGGTGGCAGAAATGGCCCAAGAAGAAGGATGAGCAAGGTTAGTTTTTCTGTTGTTTGTTTGTGAACTGCAGTAGATCCCTGAGTTTGAACTTGCAAATCTTGTAAGACTAGAAAACACCAAAGAAACTGCAAAGCAGAGCAACCATCACCCCATTAAGCCTCTCAAACCCAGGGAGGACAGGGTGCTAGGAATTTCTATGGAGTGTCATGCAGAAATCCTACATTATTATACTGAAACATTAAATTGTTAAGCTTCAAAGAACTTTCTGACTTTCCTTTATTGTCTTCCTCGAAGTATCTTTTTCATCCCTGAGCAGAGCCAGGCCTAGTTCTCTTCTCTACTGCTCTCAGTGCGGAACTGGTCCAGAAGCCTGGGCTGTCGCCCACGGACACGTCATAGGCTCTTTGTCTAGGGCTTTCTTTGTAGAATTTTTCTGGAAGTCGTTTCTAAAACTGGGGTTACTCCTAGAGGTGAGGACTCAGTCACTATTCCTTGAATTGGAAAATGAAAATGCGTGAGTGGAAGGCAAGAGAGAGAAGTGCAGTGGGAAACCTAGTGTTATTACTGATTTTATCAGTGGTAATCACCCACCTCACATTGCACCCCCAACTGTAAGTTTCATGAAGTCAGTGAGGGACTTTCTCTATTCTGTTGCTTATTACCTCAAATCTATTAGACGTTATTGCAAATAAGGACTGATAGATATGCAGATATATAACAATAAAAATATTTTTAATTGAATGGAACATCTTGATGATAAATCATACTTCTAGTCTACCATTCTTGCTGTGAACACAGTTGCTGTCACATCATATAATTCAGTTATTCTTGGGATGCCTGGGTGCCTCAGTCGGTTAAGCATCTGCCTTTGGCTCAGGTCATGATCCCAGGGTCCCAGGATTGAGTCCTGCATCGGGCTCTCTGCTCACCGGGGAGCCTGCTTTTCCCGCTCCCACTCCCCCTGCCTGTGCTTGCTCTCTTTCTCTCTCTGTCAAGTAAATAAATAAAATCTTTAAAAAATTTCAGTTATTCTTCTGGTATCAATAACATATGTATGATTCCCATTTGATAATTTTTTATTGAAGTGTAATTAACATACATTATATTAGTTTAGGTGTACAACATAATGATTCAACATTTGTATACATTGTGAAATATTCACCACAGTAAATCAAGTTACTATCTCTCACCATAGGAAGTCATGAAAAAAATGTTTTTCCTGTGATGAGAACATTCAAGATTTACTTTTGTAGCAACTTTCAAATTTGCAACACAATACTGTTTGCCATAGTCACCATGCTATACATTATACCCCCGCGACTTATTTTATAACTGGAAGCCTTTACTTCTTGATCCCCTTCACCCATTTTGCCCACCCCCAAACCCTGGACTTTAGCAACCACCAATCTGATCTCTGTATCAATGAGTTTTGTGTTGTTTGCTTGTTTTGTTTTTCAGATTACACATATGAGTGAAATCATTGTGTTATTTGTCTTTCTCTGACTTATTTCACTTAGCATAATACCCTCAAGGTCCATCTGTGTTGTTGAATGGCAAGATCTCACTCTTTTAATGTCTGAGTAGTATTCTACTCTATTATTCCACTGATGGACTCTTGGGTTGTTTCCACTTTTTGACAAATACTAATCAACTTTTTTATCTCCTGTTTTTTTCCTAAGGTTTACTTGGATTGGTGTTCAATCTGTCTCCACCAACACACTTCAACTATGTTAACTCTTGCTTTACTCTAGGGTTTTCTCAAATGGGAAAGTGTTGAAAATCCATGAGTCAAAGCAGGGGATATTTCATTAGATTCCTCTCCAAGTAGGAGATATAATGACTGGAGGGAAAATACAGACCCCTAAGAAAGATTTATTTTTCCCTGTAACTCAGAATATACTGAGCTGGAATATGGAACATACCAACATATGCAGCTCTGGTGAAAAAAATGTGTATGGTGAGAGAAGTGTAAATCCAAGTATTCTGCTTGCTCAAGTTTTCAGGTATCTTGACGAGACCTGATTTCCTCACTGATTTCTCTCAGCTCTCATAAGACAGTCCCAAGATATTAACCAAGGATGTGGGGTCAGTTAAGCAATTCAGAGGGAGAGGAGTAAAACAATGGATCTAATATCCATTAGATGGGATTGGGAAAGGAAAAAGTACCAGACAGAGAAGAGGTCTTTGGCTAAGGAAGCTCTTTCCTTCTGAACACTGCAAGCAATACCACTATGCTGTGCTCATCACACAGTCAGACTCAGCTCTCCAATCCTCTTCAGTTTCAACCAAATATACCGAAAAATACACCTATTCTTAATATCTCGGCATTGACCGCCCAACCCTATACCATCATTGTTCCCTTTCTGAATTTGTGGGAATGCAAAATGGCATAATCACTTTGAATAAAATCTGGTGGTTTGTATAACAAAAAAGAAAAAAAAAAACCACTAAAATTCAGCGATTGAACTTATAGCTTAGAATATCCAGAGCAAGAAAAACTAAAGTTCTGTTTCTATAAATGGAGGTATATATTCTAACAAAGCAGCACCCATAACCTATATATCAATGCTATAAACCTTGAACAATTATAAAAACAAAGCAAAACAAACAAAAAAATGAAGGCACTAGAGACTGACAAAACACTTAGAACCTAGAGTGTAATAGACAATTGGAGGAAGTTTTTTACTATTGGAGGAGTTTTCTGGTTTTATGGCTTTTTATTTGAAAGCAAAACTCAATTGGTAGTGAGTGGAACAGTTAAAACTCAGCGGCATACAGACTTATTAGCTTGAAGAGCAAGAAGAATGATTTGGAGCTATCACAACAGCTGAAAAATGGTAGGACAATGTCTGTAAAAGAGAGAGCCAGAGGATGAAATCTCAAATTGTACATACACACTGAGCAACTCTCCGAAATACACGTGTTTGAGGCAGATACCAAGCAGCCCAAATAGAGCTAAAAGAACTGACCAGAGATTTCAGCTTCTGCAAATTCAGGGGACAATTTCAAATTTGAGTTCAACCAAATGCCTGAAAAAAAATATTCTTCAGAAAAATAAACAGAACCCAGAATCTTTGCATCTCATTCACAATTCCCCCTGGGGAATTTTAGATACATGTTAAAATTGTTTAACATACAAAGAAACAAATGTGGTCCATACTCAAGAACAAAGGCAATCAGTGGAGATCAATTCCAAGATAATGCAGATATCATATTTACAATAAGGACTTATAACAAGGAAGACAAGGACTTCACAGCAGCTATCATATCTAGGGTAAAGGCTATGAAAGAAAATATGCTTATAAAATGAGCAAATAGGAAGTGTCAAAAAACAAAAATAGTTTTGTTAATTGAAATACTAAAACTAAAAGCTGCAATCACTCCAAATAATAATCTAGGACTGGCTTAAGAGAAATTCAGGATCACAAAAGAAAGACTAAGTGAACTTAAAAGTAGATTAATGTAAATTATCCAATATGAAAATAATGAACAGAACCTCAATAATCTGTGGAAAAAAATCAGGGTACTAACAACATAGGCACAAACCACAGAATAACTACTACAATACAATAATAACAAAACTATAAAGGTAGTTGAATTAAATGAGAAACAAAAGGGCAAAAGTTGCATGTTCATTTCAATACATGCAGAAAAGCATTGCACAAAGACATTCTATAATAAAAGGAGAAGGGAAGGAAGAGGTGTTCGGAAGAGTGCAGGTAAGCTCAGGTGTAGATGAGCCCCAGGACAAGAGGTCCTACACAGAAGTGGGTTAAGGGCTAAGAAGGTTCAGGAACGTGGTGGGCGGGCACAGGATGATGGGGCCTGGACAGTTCCAAGGATTGAAGTATGGATAAGCAGTGTGAGAAAAGCAACATTTAGAAAATTTGTAGATGAGTGACCCATGGTTTGTGACATTGAAAAATGAGACGATGCCTGCATCATAGTCTAGGAAAACCCCAACACGACGGGGAGGAACAGCCATGGAAATAGTCAAGACCCTGGGATGAGATGTAGAAGTCTCCTCAAAGGCCTTATACTCAAATTTATTCTGTAACCCAATAACCCAGTAGCCACATTGAGGTCTGTATCTGGAGTAAGCATTTTGATGAACTGTGCCTTGTCTAACGCCAAACTTTATATTACGGAAACGTGTTCTACAGTATACCCCCAGAATCCAGGCAGTCTTCTTGGACACATCTATTTCCCAGTAGTGTTTCCCTGAAGAGAAATATTGGGAGCCCAAGATACCATAATTAGTATACTTAACAGGCCAAATTGGCACAGACATCACTTTTCTCTGATCTTCTGAAAGGACAAGGCTTAAATTTAAGTTGATTGGATTCAGTGTGATGTCCACTGCAGAAAAAAAATAAAAATTGTAAGATCAGGTGAAAAATAGCAGATAGGTTTATCTGGTTACATTGTGAAGAGGGAAAGTGGGAAGTGACTAGGTAGAGCTTGTATGGATGGATTGGGGAGGGGGTAAAACACTGGAGAAATGTATTTCATATATATATATTCTAAAATATATATAGAAATATATAATATTATATATATAAACACATGGAGCTAAGGTCATGAAATCACAAGTTTATGAAAGGGTAGTAGAACACAGGGATTTAAAGAACCAGTAACTTCTTCTTACCCCAGTGGCACTGGACATGTGTTAGCTCTGAAACGATAAGAGATTCAGTGATGTTGATTGGAAGCAAATGATTAAGCACCAACACCTATCTCTTCTCTGGAGTAGGGCCAGCAAACGGGAGCCCTGTGAGGCTATGAATTGGTGAAAGAGATGATGAACTAGGCACCTCGCCATTCCCCCTTAGATATAACCACATCTCTCTCAGCAATATCCCTCCTTCTCTGAATACCCTTCTCCTTTCTATCCTCTCTTTGAAACTACACCAGCTCCCCAATTTAGTCGCTGACACCACAGGAGACCCACATCCACCCTCCCGTTCTGCTTCTCCTCACCTCTATACGTGCGCAGCATTGTGCTCAGATCCGGAGCATGGAATACACTCTTCAGTCTTTTCGAAACAGTTTTTGGCTTCTTCAGTGTCCAGATCTCACTCCTAGGGATGACAAAAATGTTGACCCCACATCTCTTACCTTGCACCCTTCCAAAACAACTGCCTTTCTTTCTCCTTCCATGCCACTGATGCACTTGAACCCTTCTCCCTGAGAAGCCTGAGTTGGGAAGAAGGGAGAGTCCTGATGCTGAAGCCAGAAGAAATGTGCTCATGTCTACCTTCTCATTTACTATTTGTAACTTTGGGAATGTCTTCACCTTAAATAAAGTTTATTCTTCGAAAAATGGAATAATTAACCTTTTTCTTGATACCTCATGGACATACTAGAAAATTTGATGAAATAACATGTAGAAAAAGCCTTTGCTACCTCTAAAAAAGGTATGCAGTATGTGGTAAAGTCATCACAGTGGTCTTTCATGGAGGCCATAGATGTGTCTTCCCAGGCAGATAGATCAGTAAGTAGTGAGGCTGCAGATCCTAGCTATAATGTGAGAACCATAAGTCTCTTTTTGAGAGCCTGTGAGCTTGTGCCCTAGTCCAAAGCCTGAAACCCAGTGGTGTGACCCACAAATAACATTTGAGATTTCAGGTGCTCTGTTAAAAACACTTGGCAAAGGAGAAGTTATGACCACTGAACTACAAATGGTTAGAATTTCCTGTGTTTGTAAGGAATTTAATTCTGTCAGGTCGTTTAGCAACTTAAGCCACAAGAACTACACTTTCCCATGTAAGTTTCTAACACGTGTGACTAGGAAGAGATTAGTTATGGCACCAAGGTCAATGTCACTAACCCTGAGGCTCAGGTTTGTTTTTGAAAAACTAAACAGAACCTTGTAGAATGACCTGGTCTTTTATATTTCCGTGTAAGCAAAGTAAATATAAAGGGCTGCCCCTATAACCTATTTTAGGGCTTGATGAAGCCCTCCATGTGATAAGATAGGCACCTATGGAATACAGAAATGAGAGGAAGGACAAAGTGAAGTCACAAGAGTCTGATAGTGAAATCCGTGATCCTTATTACCTTTACCATGCCTATTTCTGTGAACTCCAACCACCGAATTCACTACCATAGAATCTGGTCTATTCTCCTTAGATAGGGAACACTTAAATCCTTGTCAATGATCAGCAATTTAAAATAATTCTACATCCAAATTTCCCTGATTTGGAATATTTTTCATTCTGATTGACCATCAGAACACTCTTATGGCTACAAACCTTTCTTCATAACACAAAAGCACCACTCTTGGTCACCTATCATACATACCATTTCATGATTCCACTCATGTCCTAGGAAGAAGAGAGAAAACACGAGTCAAGGAGTATATAAAGATTAGAGCAGGATTAATGAAAGAAAGAATAGAAAAACACTAGAGAAAATCAGAGAAATCAAAAGTGAACTATTTGAAAATATCAACAAAATTGACAAGTTTTTACGCAGACATACCATGAAAAAAACAGAGAAGACAAATTATTAAAATCAGGAATGAGGGCACCTGGGTGCCTCAGTTGGTTAAGTGTCTGCCTTCGGCTCAGGTCATGATCCCAGGGTCCTGGGATCAAGTCCTGCCTCTGGCTCCTTGCTCAACGGGGAGTCTGAGTCTGCTTCTCCCTTTGTCCCTCCCCCTGCTTGCATGCTCTCTCTCTTTCTCTCCTTCTCTCTCTCTCCCTCTCTCTCAAAAATAAATTTTGAAAAATCTTAAAATCAGGAATGAAAGGGAAGACATTACTGCCGACTTTTACAAAAATTAATAGGAATATAAAGACTGTGAGCAATTGTATGCCAACAAATTAGATAATCCTCATGAAATGGACAAATTCCTAGAAACACAGAAACTACCAATACTGATTCAAGAAGTAATAGAAAATCTGAATAGTCCTAAAACATGTAGTGATTAGATTGGAAATCAAGAACTTCCTGCTAAGAAGTCAGGCCTAGATGGCTTCACTGGTGAATTCTGCTAAAGGTTTAAAGAGGAAATAATAGAAACACTTCACAAATTCTTCCAAAAAATAGAAAAAGAGGTTACAATACCCGACTCATTCTATGAGGCCAGTACTACTCTGATGCTAAAACTAGACAAAAGCATCACAAGAAAAGTGAACTACAGGCCAGTATTTCTTATGAATATAGATGTAAACTTCAACAAAATATTAAAAAACTGAATCCAACAAAATATGAAAGAATATATATACACCATGGTCAAATGGGATTTGGTTTAACATAAGAAAAGCAATTAATGTAATTCATTGTTATTAATAAAGGTAAAAACCATGTGATGATTTTAATAGACACAGGGGAAAAATTTGACAAAATTCAACATCCCTTCATGATAAAAACAACAAAAAAGGAATAATAACAACCCACTAGGGATAGAGGGGAACTTCCTCAGCCTGATAAAGGGCATCTATGAAAAACTCGTAACATCATCCTTATGATGAAAAACCTAACGATTTTTCCCTGAGCTTAGGTACAAAACAAGAATGTCTACTCCTACTACTTCTATTTAAAGTGGTACTGGAGGGCACCTGGGTGGCTCAGTTGGTTAAGCGACTGCCTTCGGCTCAGGTCATGATCCCAGGGTCCTGGGATTGAGTCCCACATCAGGCTCCCCCTGCTCTGCGGGGAGCCTGCTTCTCCCTCTGCCTCTGCCTGCCACTCCCCCTGCTTGTGCTCTCTCTCTCTGTCAAATAAATAAATAAAATCTTTAAAAAAAAAAAAATAAGTGGTACTAGAGGTTCTAGTCAAGGCAATTAGGCAAGAAAAAGAAATAAAAAGCATTTATATTGGAAAGAAGTAAAACTCTCTCTATTTGCAGAATACATAGTTTATATATAGCAAAGTTCTGCTCCATACACTGTCTTTATGTAACCTCTTCCACTTCTTAAATTTCAGCTCACATGCAGGTGCTGTTGCTCCCAAACTTTATATAATCTAATCATGGTCTATTGTCTCTAATCATGTATACAGGCTAATATAATACACAATGAAGAAGAAACACTAACCAAAAGCCCAGAATATCTAAAATATAACCTACTATTCACCCACTATATTGTGTCCTCTCTTATGTCCACTTGTCAAATACGGTAACAATATTCACTTAGTCCCTGTCCCGAACACTAAAACATCCTACCAAGCCAGTCCATTCCACATCCTTAACTTCTTTTGGCTAATCTGCATTTCCACATCATCACGACTATGGATTTATTTGTTTTCAACAATATATAAATATATTTGGCCTTACTCTTAAATGCCACCAGCTGGGTTAACCAAAACAAAGGAATGGTTTTGCTTCCCTGGATTAGTATAGTTTGGTTGTATATGACAAAGAAGCCATCTAACATTGCCTTAAACTACCCCCCACTTGCCACCCCCCCAAAAAAAACATGTGGCCAGAGAAATATTATTTCAGTCACAGGTGGATCTGGAAGCTCAAATGCTATCATATATGTGGCTTTTCTGTGTCTCATAATTCTCTTTTCTTCCCTGTCTGTTGACTTTATTCTCAGACTTTAATTGATAGCAACTTGAAATCTCCTGGTTTAAATTATTTTCACTGATATAATTCACAGGCAAAAGGACAATTTTCTTCAATGTAGTGACAATACAATTCTGATGCCTCGAGCCACTGACCAAAATTGGGTCATATGCCCAACTTCTAATGCCCAACTGTGTAGTCTGTGGAAATACAGGAATTAGATAAACCAATTTACATAAGATTAACCTCTGCATCCTCCATGATGCTGATTATCTTAGCCCCAAACAAGTACATGGATAAAAATAGACATGCTGTGTTTCATCAGAAAGAAATCCCAGGTGTTGCTGGTAACAACAACAAAATACTGGAACAGTTTTCCAGTATCTGTCTGGATACTGAACAGATAAAAACGATAGGTGCCATGTTCACTCCATCATTTAACTCCCTATTGTCATTCACTCATGTGTCATGCTACAAAATTTGAAAAACAAAAATGGCCCAATGTAATAATATTATTACAAAAACATTAAGAACAGAAGTGCCTCCTTTCTATATCTCATCTAAATTTTCATCCATTTTCAAGTTTGGCACTTCTCTGTTAGCTCATTCTTCCCAGTCAGTTTTGAGTGTAGCCCTCATGCAAACAACAGTCCCTCAAGCAAACAATAGGCATATAATAAAACGACCCATCCAAATCACTATAATGAAGATCCAGACAAAAGAAAAGCTGTTTAAGAAGTTTCAGGAAACAGGGTTATGAAGGGACAGCACCACAATCAATAGCATATATCTCAACATGTTGGAAAGGAACATCCAAACTCTCTAATCTAGTAAAAGAGTAAGTTCCTTGGTTAGCCCATTTGTCATTCTTTGAAGCTGTTATCTAAATGTGGGAAGTTAATCCCACAAAATGTATAACATTTATCTACTGAGCACTGTTTTTATTACAAGTAACCAGGTACCAACTTAAGCTGGCTTAAGCAGAACAGATGCCTGGAAAAGTGACATAAACACGAGTCTTTGTGAAGTTGGCAATAGAAAGAGCTGTGAAGAGCTTGTGGATGAACTATAAACAAGGGAAAAGGAATAAGCCTGCAAAGTTTTTGTTTTTACTCAGATATAACAAAATGCCAAAAAAAAAATCACCTTTTATAGTGCACAATTTAGTAGGTTTTAGTATATTTACTATGTATATTTACCATCACCACTATTTAATTCCAGAACATTTTCATTATTGCAAAAAGAAACCTTACTTTCAGTAGCAATCATTTCCTATTGCCTCCTCTGCAGTCCCTGGTAACTACTAATCTAATGTCTGTGTCTATGGATTTATCAATTACAGACTTCATATAAATGGAATCATATAATAACGGCCTTTTGTGTCTGTCTTCTTCCATTTATATTTTCAAAGTTCATCCATGTGGTAGCAACTATTAGTGCTAATTTCTTTTTAGAGCCAAATAATATTACATTGGGTATAACACATTTTGTTTATTCCTTCTTCAATTAATGGAGAATTGGGTTGTTTCCACTTTTGAGCTATTATGAACAATGCTGCCATGAACTTTTGTATACAAGTTTAGCTGTGGACATGTTTTCATTTCCAGGAATGGAATTTCTGGGCCATATGGTAACTCTATCTTCAACTTTTTGAGGAACTGCCAAGCAGTTTTCCAAAATAGCTTCACCATTTTACAACTTCACTAGCAATATATGAAAGTTCCAATTTCTGCACATCTTTGTCAACTCTTGGTATTGTCCATTTTTTTTTGGCTTTGGTTTTACATTTCCCTGATGGCTAATGATATCAGTCATCTTTTCATGTGCTTATTTACTATTTATATATCTTCTCTGGAAAAATAGCTATTTAAGTCCCTTTTGAAAAAAGATTTATTTATTTATTTGAGACAGAGAGAGCAACTGAGTGGGGAGAGAATCCCAAGCAGAATCCACACTGAGTGTGGAGCCTGATTCAGGGCTTAATCTTCTGACCCATGAGATCATGACCTGAGCCGAAATTACAAGTGGATGCTTAACCGACTGAGCCACCCAGGCACCCCTCAAGTCCTTTATCCATTTTTAAATTAGGTTGTCTTTTTATTGTTTTTTTTAAAGATTTATTTATTTATTTGATAAAGAGAATGCACACATAAGCCAGGAGGATGGGGGTGCGGAGCAGAGGGAGAGGGACAAGCCAACTCTGCGCTGAGCACAGAGTCAGATGAGGGGCTGGATCCCAGGACCCTGAGATCATTACCTTAGCTGAAATCAAGAGTCAGATGCTTAACTGACTGAGCCACCAGGTGCCCCAGGTTGCCTTTTTACTGTTGAGTTGTAAAAGGTTTTCCCTATATCACGAATACTAAACCTTATCATATATACGATTTGAAAATATTTTCTCCCATTCTGTGAGATGTTTTTTCACTTTTACATAGTGTCCTTTGAAGCACAACAGTTTCCAATTTTGATGAGCTCCAATTTATTTTATTTTTGGCTGCTTCTGTTTTTGGTGCCGTATCTGTGAAGCTATTGCCTAATCCCAAGTCACAAAGATTTATACCTATGCTTTCTCCTAAGAGTCTTATAATTTTTGCTTTTTTACTTACATTTAGATTTTTGATCTACTTTGAGTTAATTTTTGTGTATGGTGTGAAGTAGGAGTCTACCTTCATTTTTTGGCATGTGGATATTCTGTTTTCCCAGCCTAATTTGTTGAAAAGACCTATTGTAGATTTTATTAAAATTTGTTTAGTGTTATAATCACTTAGAGATCCTAATGCAAAATGCATTAAAAAATGCAAAATCTATGTTACTACAATGGGTCTGAGGACCTAAGGTTTTATAGCACTCCAGGTGATTCCGATACAAAAAAAAGATTTTGTGACCTCTGCCCCAGAGTAATCTGAAATCAAAAAAGAAGAAAAAAAGTCAAGAGAACTGAAAAAAAAGAAAAAAGGAAAAAACTAAGAGACAAGCATCAGAGACAAAGGAAACAAGCCAACATGTGAAAATCAATTATCCTTCTGCTTGACATCAAGAATTAAAAAAAAAAAGTGTTTGGAAATCCAGAAAAGAAAAGGAAAAAGATAGGGAATCACGTAAAAACTATGAAAAGTCTGGAATTCCCTGAATGACCATCATACATCATGGCTCAGAATCACAGTCACAGTATTAAAGCTTCAAAAAAAAAAAAAAAACTGTTTAAATTTTAACAAACTGTTGCCTCAAGTGTCTATAGATCTGTACCAGCATGCTTTCCTGACACCAGCAACCTTTCTGGCACACACACACTCACATACACACTTGCACACAGACTCTCACCACTCAAGTATAATACTTCCTATCCATATATTTGCCCATCCTCCTACGAAAAGGCCCAATGTTCAATCTCTTCATGTTTAAAAAAAAAATCTAACAAGAGAAGTTTGTAATAATAAAAACAGATTTTTTTTTAATTTAAAAAAAAGGGATAAATTTCTTATACCTGAAAATTCATGTATTTGCCTATGGCTAAGATGAATGAAAAGAACTTGAAAATTATCCAACACTGGATCACAGATAATAGGGGTCTAGAGAATATCACTGGATACCATGGATCTTCTCTCCAAGGTCAAATGTATTCCCTTACTTCATAAAATAATAAAGTAGGACACTCCCCTGGAATGCTTATATTCGATGGCCATGATATCTTGAATGGATGACAAAGAATGGCTCCACAAAGCCAAAGGAACCTCTTAGTGTCAACACCAAGATCAGAGCCCAAGGACACAGAAAAGAAGGTAGCTTAGACTGTGTTTCAAGAATTCCAGAGTGGGGCATTCCTCTTACCTGCAGCAGGTCCACTGTTGACCATTTACGGCGATGTTCCAGATCTGAGATGAGCTCTTTCACCAACTGGTTCTGCTGAGCCAGCTCAGCCTCAGCCTCAGCCAAGCTATCCAGGACCCTCTTCTCCTCTCCCTCCAATTCTTGCAGTTCTCTCTGCTCTTCACTGTCCAGGATGTTTCTAAGCTGATCGAATTCTGTCCATATCCTTTGTCTCTCAGTCTGTATCTGGTACTGCAAGGTTGGACAAAAAAAAGAGGTAAAGAGTCTATCTGCCTGAAAACCTACTGTATAAGGGATTAGGAGCCAAGAAAAGAAATATTTTTTCACTGAGTTCTAACCAAGAGGGAAATGGAGGCACGGGGGCAATTTTTGGGAAAGTTGGGTATTTTTTCCTACTATTTTCCCTTTAGTAAACAGGCCTCAGACTGTCTTATCTAGGCCAACCCTGGGATGAAATGTAAAACCTAAGTGAGGTTTAGGTTGTAGATGGCTGTATTGGACACTCACACCTCCCCGCATTACCATACTTCCAAGTTTGAACCTTGGGGAAAATCTTGGTCTTTTGCCCAGTGTCTTTCACTGGAGGTGTGAGAGTCTCATTGGAAAAGAGGAATGGAAGACAGAATTTTCCATCCTTCCTCACCGAAGAGTCTGTCTTTATTCTCAATTCCAAATACCTGTGTGTACTTGTAACATGTCCACTCTCCAGCCCTCAACGTAACAGAGACAGGACAAAGAGGAGAATTAATCAAATGGCTTCTGGATGCATTCTGTGTCAGGGAACAAAGAGGAAGGGGCTTCCTTGTGATTTGGACTGAAGGTCCTGCCAAGATTCCTGTGTCAAAAACCCCTTAGAAAGTCTCTTCCTACCTTCCAGGAAGTCCTCTCTTCTCTGATGTCAGCTTCCAACTTCTCAGCTTTCTGCTGCTCCTTCCTCAGCCTCTCCAGAGCTGCCTGGAGCTTCTCCTGTGAAAGAGAAGTCACGTCAGATGACTCACATCAGGACTCATCAACAGTCTATGAGCTTTCACAGCAAAGAATAAATGGGGAAGAAATCAGGCTGATCCCTGAAGAGACCAGTTTACAGAAATTGTGATTAGAATCTATGATACAGGAGAAAACCTAAGGAGAATACATCCTTTGTTCCTGGGTGTCACCATTCCTCACCAAGAGTAGCTTAATTCTCTCTTTTCATAGAGGATTGATTCTGCAGTCCCAAGAAAAATCCTATCCTCTTACTGACACTCTTTCCACATCCAATCCGCAATGTTGAAGAGCAACCATCCTGCTGAGGGGAACAAAGAGAGCCAAGCTCTCCACTCATATAACAAAAGGGAAAAAAAAAAAAAAGGGAAGCCTCTCACTCTAGGCTCTAGACTCTAGGCTCATTTCCTCCCTTTTTTAGGATTTATTTATTTGAGAGAGAGTGGGGAGAAGGGGCAGAGGAAGAGAGAAAGGGGAAGCAGACTCCCCATTGAGACTGGAGCCCCATATGGGGCTGGATCTCATGACCCTGAGAGCAAAGCCAAGCTGAAACCAAGAGTCAGAGGCTTAACTGACTGAGCCAGACAGGCACCCCAAGGTTCATTCTTTATGTAAGTGGAAGGAATACACAGAAATGTCCTTCAGGCATTGGAAGCCGAGCATAGTGTAAGAGACATACATGAAAGGAGATTACAGGGCTCAGTACCATGGTGCCAAGCTGTGTACAGAAGGATGGAAAGGTGAGATTTCCCACCAAGTACCATCTTCCTCCTCTCTCCCTCCATCCTGGGCCCTACCTGACATTCCTTGACTACTTCCTCCGTGGGGAATGTGTGGTGACCATGGTGCTCCTGAGACCGCTCACAAAGCCAACAAATGACCTTCCTATCCTCCTTACAGAAGAGCAGGAGTTTCTCTTCATGGTGCACACAGAGGTTTCTCTTCAGCTCCTTCTCTGGGTTCAACTTGGACTCTCTGATTCTCTCCATTATGTTGACCAGATGCTGATTAGGACATAGGTTTCCAAGTGAGTATCTGATACCACACACAGGACAGCTGCTTTCCTCTCCTGGGCTGATCTCTGACTCCTTGGTGTCCACAGTGATGCAGGCTTGACAGAAGCTGTGGCCACAGTCTAGAGTCAGGGATTCTGTCAAAAGCTTCAGGCAGATGGGACAGGACACCTCATCTTGTATGTTCAGGATTTTTAAAGCCTTAGTACATCTCCCCTGGCTTCTTCCTGTCTTAACTCCAGGAGCTCTTCTTGCTTAAAGGTTCCTGGATGGCTGGGCAGATTGAAAGGGGATGAGGTAAGAATGGCAGTAGTAAAAAGGTTTTTAATTGTGCAGATATTAAGGATTGGCCAAAACTGAAATGTTGAAGGACAAAAAAGAAGAGAAAAAAAAAAACAGAAATAAAATTCAGTGGCCTGGGTAAACTGCTAATGCCTCAGGCTTCCGCATTTGCTCTTCTTTAAGCCTGGAATGATCCACCCCTGGATATTTGCATGACTTCCTCTTATACTTCATCCAACTCTCTCCTTAAATATCATTTCATCAGAAGGACCCAATGGAAAAAAAAAAAAAAAAGAAGGACTCAATGATTATTTTATCTATAGCACAATTACCAATACATCATTCACTACACATTAGTCATCCTTTTCTTATTTTCACTATATAATATACGGTATCTTTTCCTTAAATACCCTACTCCTAAAATACAATCCACACATAGATTAGGCACTTTGTTTTTATTCACTCCTGTATCCCTAGTGCTAGAATGCACAGGAACACAACCTTTGATGAATATATAAAGAACTTCCTCATTTCTCCATAGGTGATTAGACCTCTTTTTTATCAGCATTTCATCTTTTTGTTCCATTAATTATCTGTTCTCCAATAGGTAAACATTGGGACCACAGATATAGTTTCACCATGAGAAATGCTTACCTCCACATATACCTGTCCCATACAGAACCCTTCCATTCTCTCATATTCACTGCCAGAGACACTCACAGAAACAAATGCCACAGTAGGGAAGGAATTTTACCACTAAGAATTGTAGAACTAGTTACAATTTATAAATCACTTTGACCTATTTATTCTTTATACAAAAGTCCTTGGGAAATGGAGTACTTTATTGAAGTGTGTAAATTGAATGAAGTAGCTTATAAAGATTATTTCATTCAGTAAGTTGAATTAGGGTGAATACAATGTCCTCAGGATCCTTTTTCAGAGGTCTGGTAGGTGTGAGAAACACTACCACCCAGGGGTCCCTGTTTTGGAGGAACTAATAATTTGCCAAATAGGAGAATATCCAAGATATTCCCCTTGGATAAGTAAGGATTGAACTAAAAGTTGTGAGAAGGGATATGGAGTGAGAAAGAGGAAAAACATATTTTGGAGAGAAGTCACATGTATGAATGCCCTGTTGACGGAAGACACAACATCTTCTACGGGTCTTAAAATACCCGTACGGCTGGTAGGCAGATAGTTGCTAGGCTTTTGGCATTAATATGCCAGCAGGGACCAAAAATGTGACCCTTCCTAAATGATGTAAAAGAGACAGACTCTCTCCAAAGAGCAGGGATCAGTGTTGGGAGCTTGTAGGACAGGCTGCTGGAGCGACTGAGAAACAGAAAAGGCTGAGAGAGACGGTAAGAGAGAAGGGGCAGGATTGGGAGTTAGGTTGGATGTACGGGAACAAAGGGTCATCATCAGGCTTAAGTTCTTTCTTCCCATAAAAAGGCCATGGACATTACCTTCTCCTAGCACTCTGTTTCATTTTTACTATTTTCGGTAAGCACAGACCTCCACTTCCACAAGTGGGTTGTGACTTGTGTAATGAAATATTTGCCGGTAGGGTGCTGGAAGCTACGTTCATGGCTCTTACAAGGCAATCAGTCTATCGGCCCAAGACTTACCTAAGCTATGTTAGTTTCATACATACCACGTGGTCTTGTTCTCTTACAAATGACCAGATGAAGGAGATAAAGTCCCTCCTATACCACTGTATGGACCCTCACTGAGAGCTCACGTGAGGCAGCCACGCTGCTGCGCGGCATCTCCTGTCCTGTAGGCCCCAGCTAAGCTACGTGAACCTGGCTGGTTTCCGTCCTGCTAAGTCACATGAGTGGGAATGACAAACCAAACCTAAAATTATTCCTGGTGGTCAGTCAGAAAGCATATCACAGGGAGGCAGCATGGAGACACTGCTGATCCTCAGAACCTGGACTCATTATGGACAAGGAGCTGTGAGGCAAAAAACAACAAAAAAAAAAGGAAGATCTCAGTAGATATTAATCGTGATACTTGTTTTAAATGATTGAACTCTATCCCCACATCGGCATCGCCTGTGTAAATGTGACCTTGTTTGGAAATAAGGTCTTTGCAGATGTAATCAAGTTAAGATGAGGTAATACTGGAATAGGTGGGCTCTCAATCCAATGACCAGTGTCCTTTAAGAAGAGGAGAGGGTGCACCGCATACAGGGGAGAAGGCCACGTGGCAATGGTGGCAGAGACTGGAGCAGTGCAGCAACCAGGCAAGGAATGCCAAGGACTGCTGGAAACCACCAGAAGCTAGAAGAGAAACATGGAACAGATTTTCCCTCAGTACCTACGGAAGAAACCAATTCTGCTAACACCTTGACTTTCGACTTCTGGTCTCCTGAACTGTGGGAGAATAAATTCCTGTGGTTTTAAGCCATAATTGATTATAAAACCTTAGGAAAGTAACACAGTTGAAAAGGTCTGATAAAGAAAGAACTGAGGTTCGTAACAAACTATAATCTCCCCTTTGCTCTAAAAAGAGAAAATAGGGGCATGATGAAAGCTGTATGGAGACAAATTTAGGTTTAGAAATATGTTCACTTCTCCAATCATCCATTAAGTGAACTGGTGAAAGATAAAGCTGAATGTGGGCTGGTCAATGTGATCTATGGTAGCCAATGGTACAGATATTGAAAATTGTCCTATGGTCAGATCAGGCTTTAATGACTGGCAACACCAGGGGTTTACAGGACATGATAATATCCACCCCTGCTCACAACTGAATCTATAAGCCAACCATAGGCATGGGGTTCTCTGTTATCTTTCATTCTATTCAGTATCCAACCAATGCTGAGAAACATCTCAAGTCTATGGGGAAGTGGACCCTGCATCCTACTCTGGGGTTATAAACCTCATGTTCACAGTGGGGCTACAGAAGTTGATGTTAAAGCAGCTGGCACCACACTGGCCACAGAAGGAGAAAGGTACAAAGGAGGCAGAGCCCCCACACATGGGCAGTGACCCCACCAGTGCCCAAGAGTGACCTGAGAGCCCAGCAGTGATCAGGAAGATAGGAAGGGAATACAAGTAGTATCTGCCTGATGGGAGTCCCAGGTCAACTGGCGGCCACACATATCCTACACTTGAGTTTTCTCCTAACATCAGGACCCATGAAAATGCAACTCTATGCCTCTCTGCAGGTCACATAGTAAAATAAAAGTGTCTCCAGGAAGTGGCGTGCAGGGAAGGATGTTCTTTGAAGTTTTAGACAGCATCCTAGACATTTCTCTTGGTTTCCTGGGCCAGGAATTGCCCCTGGGGAAAACTGGACCTATTCTTGACATGGAGAGACCTGGGGAATGCAGAAATATTGCAGTGCTCCCTCCCCATAACTCTATATTGAGAGTTCCTGCTTCAGCAACTCCTTAGAATCCAGGGCTAAATCTGTGCCTGCCCCCACCCAAAAAAAACACCCCATTCATGACCCTCTCTCCAAGAGCTCTAGCTCTCTGGTAAATATGTTTCTAGAAAGTAATATTTTTAAAAAGTCATTTAAAAAAAAGTCATTTTGTAACATAGGACCACTTTTATTAAATTGCTCCTGGTCTCATTAGTTCATCAGAAGACACTAAGAGTGTTTTCTTCAAATTAGTCCCAACCATTTCCACTGCCATCCCCCTGGCAGGAGCCACCTGCGTCTCCTGCATGGATTCTGGGTAATGGTTCTCCCTGAAACTATCACTGCCCTTCCTCAGTGTGCTGCCATCGCTGTTCTCATGTTGCTGACTAGAGTGCTCCTCAGAGCAGACACCAGTCCTGTCAGCCTTGTGCTCAAATACGTGCCGTCCTGTGTGAGCGGGTCATCATCACCACCAGTCAGGCCACATGACACACCTCCTCCCTCCAGCCTCTAACCCCTGAGGCCACCTCCTTCTCCTCTCTGCCTACTCCGCCCCAGCCCACACTGGCCTCTTTTCAATCCGGGAGGAAACCCATGCTAAAGCCTTTGAATCCCTCACATTCTTAAGATTCTACTCAAATATCTCCTCACAAGGAGGCCTTCAGGAAAACTACTTAATAGTTGCAAGGCCTTTACCAGGTCACTACCTTTGACACTTAAAAACTGTTACCTCATGCTATTAGTCACCTTCTTGTATACATATCAATTATTTGTTTGTTTACAATCTCTCCCCAACTCAACTGTAAGCTCTTCTATGTATTTAACATTTACTCCATGTTGAATGCATATTCATTGCACTTTTTTTTTTTACACAAGCAGCTTTAGTTCCAATGAATCAATTGTTTAAATAAATAAATCTATTTCATCCTATGGGTTTGGGCCTTGTTTTGGACCCTGGGGGACAATCAGTATCTGGGCAGAAATGGACCCATCCAGGAGTAAAGCATAGATCCCCCCCAGGAAGACAGGAACAGCGACTTCTGAAAAGTAGGCGTACGGGGATGTACATGTGTCAGGAGGCATGTAACAAACCCATCAACGTGAAAACTGCTCACAAGTGAGCTTAAGACGGGACATCATCACTGTCAGTCATGGAGCAAAGTCTTAGCAAGACCACTGGATCTCTGGGCTCCTTCATTTTTTTTTTTTTTAAAGATTTTTATTTATTTATTTGACAGAGAGAGACAGTGAGAGAGGGAACACAAGCAGGGGGAGTGAGAAGCAGGCTTCCTGCTGAGCAGGGAGCCTGATGCGGGGCTCGATCCCAGGACCCTGGGATCATGACCTGAGCCGAGGGCAGACGCTTAGCGACTGAGCCACCCAGGCGCCCCCTCTGGACTCCCTCTGAGCAATAATCAGCTCCTGTTAATTAGCTCTGAACGAAGAAAAATATTAAGGAATTGAGATAACCATGCAAAGAGGTGTCTACAGAGGAGGAATGATGGAGAAGGAGCCCTAAGGCAGGTGAAGAGGACAGCGGCCTATGCAGGGCAGTGCAAAGAGACCCCTGGGACTGGCACTCGGAAGGACACAGGGCGAAAGGGGGCCATGGAGGCAGGTGGCAGGCACATCACCCCCCAGGCCAGCAGGAGAGGAAGGCCAGAGACGGCCCCTCGGTTGGTTCCCCGGGGCAGGAATGAGAGGATCAGATTCAATATGAGCCCGGGCATGCCCCCCAAACTCCAATCTGTCTTGTGCTCCACTCTAGGAGCCTGGGCTTTCAAACCTCTGGAACACAGGGACCTCTTCTGCCAGCTTTTCTTCAAGCAGGTAGAGGTGGGCAGAAGAGAAGATACTTTCTGTTCATCTTTGAGAAAGAGAGAGAGTGAGAGAGGGAAAGGATTCCAGTTCTCAGCAAGGCAGGCAATTCAAACTCCAGAACAGTAAGGGGATGAAGGTGGACGCAGCCTGGAGAAAGAAGGGCCCCTCCAGGAAAGGAACAATGCTCCCCACCTCTTGGGCGCTCCTTTCTCTCCAGGCCACCCGTCTCCAGAGTCAAGGCTGCCCTCTGTCTGTACTCAGAGCAGGAAGTCTGCAAACTGGCTTTTCTTCCCTTCAGAGCACTTCTGGGCCACACATTAAACTCACATCCCTTCCTGTCGTACCTTCCTTCTGGCGTCTCCCACCGTCTGCCCCCCACTAACTTCCCCACGTACCTTGAAGCCCCAGCAGAGAAGTCTTGGTTCCTGATTTAAGCGGTGAAGAAAAGCCAGGGCAGGCGTGGTCAGCATTTCCTCACCAAACAGGCGCTGGGTCGGCCAGAAGCCACTCCTCCTGAGCAGATGGCTGGGAAATGAAAGTGAAATCTTCAGGGCTGGCAGGAAGATGAAAGGGGAAGAAGCTTCTGGGCCCAATGGGCAGTGGTCCTGTAGGGCCACTGGAAGAGAAATGCTTCAACTCACTGCTTTGAAAGGCGGGGAGGGAGGGCTGTCCCAAGGGACTTTTGGCGAAGCCTGAGGACAGATTTGGTTGTCCAGCCTCGGGGATGCCACTGCCATCTAGTGGGTAGAGGCCAGGGGTACGGCTAACCACTCCGCAGCGCACAGGACAGCTCCCACAGCAAAGAAGGATCCAGTCCAAAATGTCCAGAGTGCTGAGACTGAGATGCTGTTTTAACCCTCTCTGCCTCCTGGGCCAACTAGGCACGGAGAGTCTCCTCCCATCTCATGGTTGTGCACAGGCCGTCAGTTCGGCCTACCAATTTGAATTATCCCCTCAGGTCCCACCTTCCATTTGCCCCCAAAGAACACACCACCACCTCCTAGGAAATAGCCAGGAGTTGGGCAGACGAGGGATGGAGGGTGCTGGAAGAGTTGGCTACAAAGGACCAGGACAACTTTTTCGAGTATGAGTTTCTAAATCCTATTTGTGCAGTAGTCACACAGATGTAAAACTTCAGCTTTTTAAGTTTTTATTTTAATTCCAGTTAGTCAACATAGAGCATATCAGGGTCAGGTGTACAATATAGTGACTGAACACTTCCACACATCACTCGGTGCTCACCACAAGTGCCCTCCTTAATCCCCATCACCTATTTCACCCATCCCCCCACCTCCCCTCTGGTGACCTTCAGTTTGATCTCTACAGTTAGGTGTCTGTTTTTTGGTTTGCCCCCCCCCCCGTTTTTTCTTTGCTCATTTGTTTTGCTTCTTAAATTCCACGTGAGTGAAATCATACAGTATTTGTCTTCCTCTGACTGATTTTGCTTAGCATAATATTCTCTGGCTCCATCCGCATCCTTGCAAATGGCAAAATTTTATTATTTTTATGGCTGAATAATATTCCATTGTAGATATATACTACCTCTTCTTTATCCATTCATCAGTTGATGGACACTTCATAATTTGGCTATTGTAAATAATGTCACTGTACACATAGGAGCGCGTGTATCCCTTTGAATTAGCATTTTTGTATTCATTGGGTAAATATCCAATAATGAGATTCCATGATCATAAGGTAGTTCTATTTTTAACTTTTTGAGGAAACTCCATATTGTTTTCCAGAGTGACTACACCAGTTTGCATTCCCACCAACAATGCACGAGTGTTCCTTTTTCTCCACATCCTCACCAACATCTGTTGTTTCTTGTTGATTTTAGCCATTCTGACAGGTGTGAGGTGATACCTCATTGTAGTTGTGATCTGCATTTCCTTGACAGTGAGTGATGATGAACATCTTTTCACGTGTCTTTTGGCCATTTGTAGGTCTTCTTTGGAGAAATGTCCACTCATGTCTCCTGCCCATTTTTTAGTTGGATATCTGTTTTTTGGGTGTTGAGTTTTATAAGTTCTTTACAGATTTTGGATAGTGACCCTTTATCAGATATGTCATTTGCAAATATTTTCTCCCATTCCCTATGCCTTTTAGTTTTGTTGATTGTTTCCTTCTCTGTGCAGAAGCTTTTTATTTTGATGTAGTCTCCCCAGGTGATTCTTACATGAGTCTGAGGTTGAGAACCACTGGCCTCAAGTGGTGAACTGGGCCTTTGGGGCCTTGGACAGAAAGGACTGCTTTGAAATTGAGATAACCTTGACACCACATCTGATAGGAAGTCATCTTGAACAGGAGTGTCCCTATCAGGAGTCACCACCCTTTCTGGGCGCAGGATGATCTCAGCACATGGTGCCTCCATGAAGAGCACATGAGGAGAATAAATTGATGGATTAATTTTCTGTGTTGTATTCATCAAGGAAATCCTAGTCTCCTGGGCTCCTGGAGAGCACATTACATAACAAGTGCCACTTCTGGAAGTGCTTTCCAAGGTACCATTGTTCTTTCTGCCCTCCCTCATCATCTGACTTGTGTCTGGGGCCCAAGGATAAGCTCCGAGCGGAAATACAATTAAAACATGGTTTGAGGGACGCCTGGGTGGCTCAGTCGGTTAAGCGGCTGCCTTCAGCTCAGGGCGTGATCCCAGGGCTCTGGGATCAAGTCCCGCATCAGGTTCCCTGCTCAGCGGGGAGCCTACTTCTCCCTCTGCCTGCCGCTCCCCCTGCTTGTGCTCGCTCTCTCTGACAAATAAATAACATTTTAAAAATCTTTAAAAAAATTGCTTGAAATTTTAACAACTTTCCCATAAAAATATCTGTATCTATTACATTTAGGTTTTTGCTTTGACCACTTTTAAGGAGTCAATAATTACCCATTTAGGCTTGTTTATCCTTAATTCAGTATTGGTAATTTACACCATTCAGATAACAAATCATTAGACAGATTTGTTAGTTTAGGTGTGCAAATCATTAGTTTAGGTGTGTGAATTACCTCAGCACTGCCCATCACTTCTGTGTGAATAACGTCCAATTTTCATCATTAATTTTATACACTTGGGTTTTTTTCCCTCTATTTTTCTTAAAACCTGATTTCTCTATGAATTCAATGGGCTTGCAAGCATGCTATGACTTTGCCATATTTTTATTATTTCCCTAACCATCTACCAACATGTAATATATTAAAGATAGAACAAAACGGCCTTTTTGGAAACTCCTTTTAGGGTATCAAGAGTTTCTCTGGCATGTCACTGTCAGCTGACCTATGCTTCCAGAAGGCAGGAATGGCCTGGACGGAAGGATAAGCAAGTTCGGTGTATTCAGGAATCTGCACATAGTTCCATGGGACTGTACTTGGAGCTCTAGGTAATCAGAAGAGAGGCCACAAGAGGTGGACAAGTGTCAACATCTTCAAGACTCATTTACAAAGGCAGGGAGAGAGCTAGAGAGTTATCTGCAGGAGGATGACAACCACTACAAACATACCAGGGCAGGAGTGGTGACAGTTTTCCCAGATTCCCTGACTTAACTCCCATCATCCCCATGGGACCCACACTGTCCCCTGGCAGGGCCCAGCTGGGCTCTCTGCTCTGCGAGTCTCCACTTGTAGAAGTAACTTGGAAGCCTGGGTCTCTGCAAATATCAGTATGCATAAGGCCCTCTGAACATGGAAGATAATTGTGTACATCTTTTAATTTTTATTTCATTGTGAAGCTTTTCTGGTCGTTTTTTGAATATTGGACTTTTTAAAATTTTTCGCAGAATTCTTGAGCTTATTAGCATTGAATTGTGTAATTCTTTGGACTATTTTTAATTATCTGTAATGAACTACTTTCATTCACAATTTCGTTAGTTTGCGCTACCTTTTGCCTTGTTTGTTTGTGTAATTTAGCTTTCTTACCACACAATAAGAATGCACTCATATCCCACATTAAATATAAATATTCTAAAATTGTATGAGTGTGTTAAAGATGACCCCTTGGCATAATAGCATTTCTGGTAGAAAGGTAATTAACACTTAGGAAGACCATGAGGTGCCCTCCGCCCACCACCAAAACAACTTGAAGACAATTATGACCTGTGTTCTTAAG